GTAGAGGGCATGGGTCGCGAAACACAGGACAAAAGGGTACCCTTGTTTGGGCAGGGCCGACCTACTAATCAAACTCGACTGTATGGGCCGTCTCCTTCGGCTTTCGAAGGGCACGTATCCCCAACTGGGGTGCCGAGATGCTGGGGGCTGGATGGGGATGGGGAGGTGGGGATGGGGGGTCGGCGAAACGATCCTGAGCCCGCCGCCCCCGCCGGCAGCCGGCCGCTGCCGCGCCGCCAAGCCGCCTCGGGCGGCCGTAAGGGACCAACGGGCCTGAGCGACCTGGCCAGCTGGGGAGGCAAGGTGACGCCGATGCGCCCTGGGGCCCTCGAGAGCGCTTCGGCCACGCCCTGGAGCGGCGTGTGCGGGGGGGGCAACCAGCTCAGGGGAACCAGTCCTCCTCCTCCTCCTCCTCCTCCTCCTCCTCCTCTTCCTCCTCCTCCGCCTCCTCCTCCTCCGCCTCCTCCTCCTCCTCCGCCTCCTCCTCCTCCTTTTCCTCCTCCTCCTCCTCCGCCTCCTCTTTGCCATTCCCTCATCCTCGTCCCTCCTCCTCCATCCCTCCCTCCCCCTCAACGGGGGGCAACCAGGTCAGGAAGCAGGGGCAGCCAGCTAACGCCGTGTGAAGGGAGGGCCAGCTCAAGGGGGGAAGGGAGGCATATCAACCCAGCATCGGCGACATAGTCAAGTCGGGCATGTCCCTCTGCAGGGGGAGCACCAAAAAATAGTCAGAAAATAATATGGGGGCGATGTGCTGATTATTTATTGACTACTATGTTTCATGTTTCGTCCAGAATCCGCCTGTAGGGGGACATGCCCGACCGAACGATACATCGCCGAGAGATCGGCGAGACTGATGGCGAAGCCGCATGCTCCTGGGCGGGTTTGGGCGATCGCGCCCCTGCTGGCGATGAATGGGCGACTGGGAGCCGATGCATCCCCCCCTGAGCCCCATCGCCCCCGCTTACGTTGCCCCGGAACGTGTCCTCATCCTGGGCATGCCCGACGACGCCTCGTCGCTGGTGGCCGAGAGAGGCGCGGGGGAGCCAGGCAGAAAGCTCCAGGAAACAATGACTCAGGCTCCGCACAGGCAGCGCTGAGTTCGGACCCCCTCCTTCAATGGGTCGGTGGCGCCCTGGGCCCGCAAATACTCCCAGCAGGGCCCCTGAGAGCGCCAGCGGGCCCCCTCCCCCAGCCCAAGCCCCTTACGGCAGGGGCCCGACCACAAGAAACCTTCCACAAGAAACCCCACCCTGAGACCCCAGGACGTCCATGGATCGTTAGACCGTCACGCTTCCCATAGCAAGACCATCGAAACCCAAGAAACCCGGGGCACCCTGGAGGTACAATCAACCCGTATAGCAAGGATGCGCGATAAGCATGCAAGGGCGTTGGAGGGCCATTTAGACGCTTTTCGAGCGGGGCACGGCCAGGGAAAGTGGCCAAGGATGGGCCGAAGGGAGAAGGATGCAAGGGTATGCTTGGGAAGGCTGCCCATCCTTATTATGCGGGTTGACTGTAAGCAGGATGTTTCTTGGCATGGACGCCCACTGCGGAAAGCCTCTGTTTCTTCCCAGGGCAGGCTCGAGGCGCCCCAAAGCATGCGCGAAGCGTCGCCACGGGCGAGCGCACGCTCAGCCCTGGTTGTCTTCCCGGGGTGCATCTTGCGGCGGTGGTTTGCTTGGGCCGATCCCACCTTCGCTTGAATTGCGCCCCCCGACTGCGCATCGCTGGTGATGATCCGCCCCCCCTCTTTTCTCACGACTGAGATGGTCTGAATGGTTTGTTGTTCGCATGCGCAAACGGAAGGGCCGCGCGCCGTCCAAAGCTACAGCTAACAAGCAGGAGCCTAAATTGCACAAGCTGGTCTGAATACTTATTCGGTCGCGTCCGCAAGCGAGGGCGCACGCGGAGTCAGGAGCGCTACGGGTCACGACAGCCGCCCAATTAGCAGCTAGACGCGCCGCAAGCCGGCCGGCCCACTCATACAGCAGCGGCTGACTGCAACTGGTCTGAATACTTTTTTGGTCGGCGGCTCCGAGGCGGCGGACAGGGAGCGGTAGGCGTCGTCTGGGCCAGCAGGCGAAGCTAATTAGCTTCAACAGGCAGGACACCTGCAGTAAAACCCGCAGTACACGAGTATGCACATGCAGTAAGCAAAATGCTCGATTAAACGCTGCGGAAGAGTCGCCCTGTCGGCGCCAGTCCGCGCAGCCGGCCTATCCGAAAAGACTGATAGGGCCAGAGCGACACGCTGAAGGCTGAACCACTCAGCGCGAGGTACCACCGCCGTGCGCGGGGTAGGTAAAGACAGGGCAGGGACCTATAGAGCTCTCACTCCGATCCACACTGCTGCCCATGGTGGGGCCGGTGCGTCCGCACTGGTCTGAATACGCGATGCGTCAAGAGTTGGAGGAGCGAGATCGCCATGAGAAGCGGGCGAGTGTGGAAAATCCGAACTCATCCGAGGCTGCGTTAAAGCAGGATTGACCCGCTAAAACATAAAATGCACCAAAAGTTGTGGGGCAACTCGTTTCGCCTTCGATTGGGCCGAACGCCGCACACGCCATCCGTGCACCACCTCTTGCCGTAATCGTGGTGGACAAGATCGTCTTAAGCCCCACGCCAGAGGCAGCCGCAAAGAGATAGAAGCTAGCAGAAAACACGCGGTAGAACGTCTTCTTGTTGAGTGCAACTCCCCCCTCCTTGCTACTGCTGCTCCTGGTCAAGTTATTCTCCCCTGCCGAATCATCCACCTCCTCCTGCTCTTACTCCTGCTCGTTCTCATCCCTCCCTTCTCGGAGGCCTCCGGACTCCAGAGCCCCATTCCCCCGCAACAAAAAACTCAAAGACATATATGGCATTCCTCCACCCCGTTCCTTCACATGCGTGTGCGTAATTGTATGTTTACAACATACCAGTCCATGCATAAGTAACTACAGATCTACATACCTACATACATACCTACTTACATACCGACCTACCTGCCTACCTACAAGCATGCATGCATGCATACATGCGTGCATGCATGCATGCATACATACATACATGCATACATACATACGTACACACGTACATACATACATACATACATACATACATACATACATACATACATACATACATACATACATGTATACATACATACATACGCCAGACATGCATATACATATACATACAGGCATAAATATATGAGTGTCGACCTATCGACCTACATTCATCTATGCATATGGCCATGCATACACACAGCATACGCATATGTGCATCAATACATGCAAACATACAGGCATACATGCATACATGTATGCATCACATGCACAAGCACCTATGCAGACATACGTGCATGCATGCATTCATGCATACTTGCATACATACGTGCATACATACATGCATGCACGAATGTCTACAGCATGCCTACATGCATGTGTACATACATACATGCACACGCATACATAAAACACACATGCATACGTAGGTACGTACATACATACAGACACACAGACAGACAGACAGACAGACAGACAGACAGACAGACAGACAGACAGACAGACAGACAGTCAGACAAACAAAAAGACACACAGACAGACAGACAGACAGACAGACAGACAGACAGACAGACAGACAGACAGACAGACAGACAGACAGACAGACACACACACACACATACACGTACATGCACGCATAACCAGGTACATATATACATAGAGAGAGAGAACCAAAAAAATGTGCCACCGTGCCTCGAGGCACGAAGTGGAGTGTCCTCAGGTCCTCAGGTTCCCTCAAGCTCTCTGTAGTGAGCTCAATTGAAAGGGCCCACAGCCCAGACATCCGGGCGCTCTCGAGCCCTCCCAAGCGCTCTGGCGCGCTCCCAGAGGGTCCCCGCGTGACTTGTTCAGAGGCCGAGAACGCGTTGTTCGGGACATGCGCGTCCAATATCGCTTAAAAGGGTTCCGAAAACTGTCCTGGGGAACCTTCTTGGGCGCCTCCTGAGGCGTCATAGAGACCCTAGGAGGGCGGCCCAAGAAGCCAAAATGGTCGAAATACGAATTTTAGCACTACCGCGGCCCTCAATTCGGTGCACTCCTCACGCACTTCGCGAATGTTGGACGCCCAGCTGGCCCTCCAGACGGCTCCTTGGAGCCTCGATTCCGCACACCCCTCAGGCACGTCGTGGCCCATGCACCCCAAAAGGCCCCGAGCTGGCCTCCAAGACCGCCTAATCCACCAAAGGGGTGCAAATACGCTCAAAAGAAACATTGCAACGATTGGTACCGACCCTCGCCGATCGACGAGGGCCGGTACCAATCAGTCGATGTTAGGGGTACTGCCTCGACGTCGAGGGAGCACGCCAAATACCCACTGATTGCAAAATCTGCGTCCAAGCTTTCCCCCGGGGGCCCGCCGTGACTCCCGCTCTGCGGGCTGAATTCGGCAGGCCCCATGCGGGCCCTCCACCGTATCAGCCGTCGAGACGCCGACGCCGACACCGACGCCGACGCCGACGCCGACGACGACACCGACGACGACGACGACGACGACGAGAATAGTGACCATGACGACGACGATAAATGCGACGACGGGCTTAACGGGCGGGTCGGGCGGGCGGCCCCTGACCGGCGGGATGCGCCGCCAGGGCCCGCGCAGATCGAGCACGTGCGCCCACGCCGCCGGCCCCTGGGCCCCTCTGGAGAGTTCGGCGGGCTGAAGTTCGGCGAGACCTCCTGGCGGGGGACTGCCAGCGGGCTGCCGAGGCTCGCGCTTCTGCCCCGCCCTGCGTCCCTCCTCCCCCCATCCTTCCTCCATTGCCTTCCTCCTCCATCGTCCTCGTCCTTGTCCTCGTAATCGTCCTCATCCATCCGAATCCCAAATTCCTCCTCCCCCTCCTTCTCCTCTTCATCATCATCATCATCATCATCATCATCATCATCATCATCATCATCATCATCAGCAGCAGCAGCATCATCATCAGTACCATCATCAGCATCAGCATCAGCATCAGCATCAGCATCAGCATCATCATCAGCAGCATCATCAGCATCATCATCATCACCCTCATCATCATCACCACCAACACCATCATCAACATCATCATCATCATCATCATCATCATCATCATCGTCATCATCATCATCATCATCATCGTCGTCGTCGTCATCATCAGCAGCAACAGCAACATCAGCTGCATCATCATCACCATCATCACCATCATCATCACCATCATCGGCAACAGCAACATCAGCAGCGTTGTTTTGCAGTGCGCTGCTGACATCCAGGCTCCAAATCAACTAGTGCAAGGACTGAGATGACAGGACAGAAAAATGAATCGGATCCCCTGTCATACAGGGGGGCAGCGATCGCGCAAGGCTGCCGCCACAGAGCGGAGCGCTGAGTTGTTCTCAGATTGATCAGATCCTGAAGCAAGCCAAAACGGGATGGCCTTGTCAGGAGGAAGACCTTATACATATCCTCTTCGAATCCCTGAGCTGGGCCTGGGTTTAGGTCGGGCATGTCCCCCTACAGGCGGATTTGGAGCGAAAAATAAAAAGTAATCAAACATACTCCAGAATTGTCAAAAATAGTCCAAAAAAAATCGTCCCCTGACTATGTTTGGACTATTTGGGAATATTCCTGTAGAGGGACAGGCCCGACTTAAGCCCGGGTAGCAGCATGTGGGCCCAGCGAGGCCACGGGGCAGGGCCCCCGCCAGATCAGTACCGGGAGACGCTTGTGGGTCCAGGGCCCGCAAGCACCGCAGAAAAGCAAAGAAGATGTCCACCACATGGTTTGGGATGCCATGACAGTGGACACCCCAACAATCCGATCATTGATTTAACAATGTGCTTAACCTGTCGGAGAAGTGCAGTACAAATGTTTGTTGTTTGCATGTACAAGACAGCTTAAAACATGTTGCAGGCATCTGGAAAAGATTTGGCAACATGTCCCCACGGGAAAGAGCTGACAGGGGCAGGCTGCAAAGCCAACACACGACAGAGAGAATCCTTCCTGGCGGGCAGGTCAGCAGCTGGGGGCCCGAGCCAACTTACGAACCTGGAACGTCCCAACCCTCCCGCTGCATACACGCTCACACACGCCCACTCCCTTATCCTCACCAATGAGCATCGTTTACCCGACCCCCGTCCCCAGCGGCGTGGCCTGGGCCCCACTGGCCGATGTACCCCCCTAGATGGGGATATAGGCCGTTCCCTTCGGGTTTCGAGGTGTGTATCCCCAACTGGGGGGGTAATTTGGTCGGGGTCTCGAAGGGGATGGGGATGGGGATGGGGATCGGTTTAACGATACCAAACCAAGCGAAGCAAGGCACTTGGACTGCAAAACGAGAGCGGAAGGAGGGAGCAGTGTCCAAGACCTGGCCGTTGCTTTAGGTCGGGCATGTCCTCCTAGAGGCGGATTTTGGGCGAACATGCAAAAATAATCGAAGCATACTCAACGCATACCCAACACTAGGAAAAAACACATCGTCCCCGGACTATTGTTACTATTTATGAATATTCCTCCTGTAGGCATAACTACTATATTTGAATATGTTTACTGTTTTTTATTGTTTTGAAGATTGCCCGACTTAACCGTTGCATACGGAGCATTGCCGCAAATCACCAGACATGGGCCAGAACTGAAACTCGACCGCACACCCTCAGCGATCCACTTGCGACTCCTCCTCCTCCTCCTCCTCCTCCTCCTCCTCCTCCTCCTCCTCCTCCTCCACCTCCCCCTCCCCCTCCCCTCCCCCTCCCCCTCCCCCTCCTCCTCCTCCTCCTCCTCCTCCTCCTCCTCCTCCTGCTCCTGCTGAAATCCAGGCCACTTGGAGCCTTATCCAGCCCTCGACCGGGCTCGACACGGAGGGCAGCACACTCAAGAATGATACACGTGTGCTCGAGCACCCGGCAAGCCTGTGGGATCAAGTCATTCTAATCGCCAACAACATCCGCTGAAACTTGGGTCTCATCGGCTCTAGCATCAGCCAGAGCATCGACAATAGAACTGAGAGCAACATGGCACCAATCGACTGCATCGGCAAAGCGCGCGTGATTGGAGGCATCAGAGAGCAGGCGGGAGGGAACATGAGAGAGGCTGAAAGAGGCGGGCCGAGCGTCAAACAGCTGCCAGAACTCCCACCGAAGGTCGTAGTTAGCTAGCCTGGACGACGATCTGGCCGTGCCTCAAACATAAGCCTTAACAACACTGTGGTGATCAGTCACCACGCGCAGGACTTGGGCTGGATCCACATGGCGCAGGCACTCCACCATAGCCGCAAGTTCAGCACGCGGGGCCCTCTGACGATGAGTCCAGGACACCTGCGACAGCACAGCCCCCGCCTGAGGACGGGCATCTTGGAAAAAGGGCCCCCCGATCCGTGTGTCGCGCACAGGCCCCCAGGAAGAGATCCCAGCACGAGGGGCCCAGGCGCACGGATACCACGGAGCAACCTCGAGTCGGCTCAGAAACAAGGAAAATCCGAGATTTCCCGTAATGCGGCATGACGATGATGCAGGGATTCGACAGTAGCAGGCACAGCGAAGAATTCATTACACATACGGGACCAAAAATCGATGGGCAGAGGACTCAGGATCGCGCTCGCGTCGGCGGCAAATGGGGATAGGGGCAAGCTGTGCATCATTACTCCAGTCCTCAGTCCAATATCCGCCAGCAGCGGTCGGGATCGCCGTCGTCGTCGTGGTCGTCACCGTCGTCGTCGTCAAGGCCATCGTCGTCGTCGTCGTGGCCGAGGTCGTCGTCGTCGTCGACGTCGTCGTCATCGCCGCCGCCGTTGCCGTCGACGTCGTCGTCGCCGTCGTCGTCGAGGTCGCCGCCGTCGTCGCCGTCGTCGTCGAGGTCGTGGTCGTGGTCGTCGTCGTCGTCGACGTCGCCGTCGTCGCCGTCGTCGTCGAGGTCGCCGCCGTCGTCGCCGTCGTCGTCGAGGTCGTGGTCGTCGTCGTCGTCGTCAGAGTCGTCGTCGTCGTCGTCGTGGCGGCAGCCCGGGTGGAGTTAGTCGCTGCTATGATTGGCCCGATGCCACAAACGTCTCCACCCCCCATCCTCGGCCCCCCTCATCCCCCCACTGCCCAGCCCTAGGCCAACGCACGGCCATCTTCGTCGTTGTCGTCGTCGTCGTCGAGGCGTCGTCGGCGTCGCCGTCGTCGTCGTCGTGGTCGTCGGTGTCGTCGTCGTCATCGTCGTCATCGTCGTCGAGGTCGTCGTTGTCGTGGTCGTCGTGGTCAACGTCGTGATCGTCGTCGTGGTCGTCGGTGTCGTCGTCTTCGTCGAGTCCGTCGATGTCGTCGTCGTTTTGATCGACATCGTCCTCGTCATCGACGTCGTCGTCGTCGTGATGTTCGTCGAGATCGTCGAGGTCGTTGTCGTCGTGTTCATCGCCGTGGTCGTCGGTGTCGTCGTCGTCGTGTTCATCGTCCGCGTCGTAGTCGTCCAGGCTGCCGTCGTCGTCGTGGTCGTCACCATCGTGGTCGTCGTCGCCGTCGTGGTCGAGGTCGTCGTCGTCGTCGAGTTCGTCCTGGTCGTCGGTGTCGTCGTGTCGTCGTCGTCGGTGTCGTCGTCGTCGTGGTCGTCGAAGTCGACGTCTTCGCCGAGATCGTCGTCGACGTAGTCGTCATGGTCGTCGTCGACGTGGTCATCGCTTTCGTCGTCGTCGGTGTCGTCGTCCTCGTCGAGGTCGTCAAAGTCGTCGTCTTCGTCGTGGTCGTAACCGTCGTCGTCGTCGTCGAGATCGTCGTCGTCGTCGTCGTGGTCGTCACCGTCGTCGTCGTCAAGGCCGTCATGGTCGTCGTTGAGAACGTCGTCGTCGTCGCGGTCAACGTCGTTGTCATCGTCGTCGTCGTCGCCGGTGTCGTCGTCTTCGTGGTCGTCGTCGCCGTCGTCCCCGTCGTCGTCGTCGTCCGTCATCGTCGAGATCGTCGTCGCCGTCGTGGTCGTCGTCGTCGTCGTGATCGTCATTGTCGTCTTCGTGGTCGTGGTCGTCTTCCTCGAGATCGTCGTCGTCGTCGTGGTCGTCGTCGTCGTCGGGATCGTCATCATCGTCGTCGTCGGTGTCGTCGTCTTCGTCGAGATCGTCGAGGTCGTCGTCGTCGTCGGCGTGGTCGTTGGCGTCGTCGTCGTCGTCGTCGAGATCGTTGTCCTCATCGTCGTCGTGGTCGAGGTCGTCGTCGTAGTCGTCGAGGTCGTCATCGTCGCCGTCACCACCGTAGTGGTCGTCGTCGTCGTCGACGTCGAGGTCGTCGACGTTGTCGTCGACGTTGTCGTTGAGGTCGAGGTCGTCGTTGTACATAGTCGTCGTCGTCGACGTCGTCGTCGAGGTCGTCGTCGTCGTCGTCGCCGTCGTCCGTCGTCGTCGTCGTCGTGGTCGTCACCATCGTGGCCGTCGTCGTCGTCGTCGTCGTGGTGGAGGTCGTCGTCGTCGTCGTCGTCGTGGTCGTCGTGGTCGTCGGGGTCGTCGTCGTCGTCGGTGTAGTCGTCGTCGTCGTCGTCGTCGTCGTGGTCGTCGGTGTCGTCGTCTTCGTCGAGATCGCCGTCGTCGTCGTCGTCGAGGTCGTCGAGTTCGCCGAGGTCGTCACCGTCGTCGTCGTGGTCGTCGTCTTGATCGGCCGTCCTCGTCGTGGTCGTCGGTGCCGCTGCCGTCGCCGAGATCGTCGAGACCGTCGGGGTCGTCCTCGTGGCGGCGGCGGCGGGGGTGGGGGGCAGTCGTCGCTGTGCTCGGCTGACCAGCTACCAAACCACCCCAACCCAACCTGGAGACCAGAATTTCGCCCGAATTTCGGGTGGGGGGGGTACGGGTTCCAGGTGTTTTTTCAATGTTCCCCGACCACCCCCCCACTGGAAATGGAGGGCAAATTGAAGCCTTCGGGTTGGGTTGGGGTGGTTCGGTGGGTGGTGCTCGGCACCCCGCCGCCCACCCCCTCCCGCCAGCGCGCGGCCGTCCTGGCGCCACTGCGCCGCCCACGCCGCGTGCCTCAGCGACACGGGCTCGTGCGTCCTGGGCCCGAAACCCGCGGGGCCGCGAGCCAGGCCTCTCGGCGCCCCTGGGGCAGCCGCGGCCCCGCCGGGCGAGGCCCAGCAGTGCGGCTGACGCCAAAAGCAAGGGGTCGTTCATCGTCTCGACGCTGCCGCCATCGTCCTCCTCTGAGCCTCCCTACAGTCGGACTTCATGGGACAGGACACGCGAGAGGACGGCCACATTGCCGTAGGAATGCAGGAGGCACGGGTCGCGAGACACAAGACACAAAGGTACCCTTGATTTGGCAGGGTCAACCTACTAATCCGGGCCGACTGTAGCCTCACGTGTAGGGTTCTTAGGCTCAGGGCTTCTTCTTATTATTATTATTATTCTTCTTCTTCCTTCTTCTTCTTCTTCTTCTTCACCCAGTACTGCTGGAGGGGATATCCGCCTCACCGAGCGGCGAACGTCTCCCACAGATCTCCGGCGAGGCGCTTTTGTTCCTCGAGCTCGGCCTCCAGGGGGGAAGGGGGAAGGCGCTTTCGGGCCCTGGGGCCGTCAGAAAAGGGCTCGGGGCGCAGAAAGCACCCCCGGGGAAGCGGTCGGGCACTCTGTCGGGTGCTGCCAGAAGTGCCCCTGGCCCAAGGTGCCCCCAAGATTCCCAAGGCGGCCCCCACGGCTTCCAGAGCACCCCTCGCGAGGCCCAGAAGGCCCCCAGGGGCTCCCAAATGGAGCGAAAAGCTGGGGGCACCTTGGGCCAGGGGCACCTTCGGCAGCCACCGAAAAGTACCCCCCAGGGAAACGGTCGGGAACTCTTTGGCCGCGGTTGCAGTAAGGAAACAAAGTCAGACGATATGCTGTCGGAGTTCTCTGGCGACACCTTCATGTGTGAGAATGCCGCAGGCGAGAGCCAAGCTCGTGAAGGTACGTAGAGTTCGGGAGCTCAGTTCACCGAATAACCCTTTGGACATCGGAGGCGAAACGCCCCCACTCACACACACACACACACACCATGCTGGACATCCGACGTCAGATCTCCAACATCTCATGTCCTTAAGATGTCAGAAGCGAAATCTTCACTGTTGAGAACCAAGGTCGAAAAGCATAACTTCGAACATCCTCATGCTGTGAGGATGCCTCATGCGAAGCGCCCCCACCACCCACCATGCTAGATGTCGGACATCCGATCTCCAACATCTCAAGTGTACGAGGATGTCTCAGGCGAAATCTTCGTTTATGACCATCAGTTTCGTAAACAAACACCTCAAACTTCCCCCTAATGTCAAGATGTCTCAAGCAAAACGCTCCCCCTACACCATGCTGGATATCCGACGGCCGGTCTCCAACATCTAAATGGTCTGAGAATGTCTCAGGCGAAACCTTCAGTTTTGATCACCAGATCGCCATCGTCGAAAATCAACTTCTCCAACATCTCAATTGCGGAAAGATGCCTCAAGCGAAACGCCCCCCAAGGATGTCGCAGGCAAAAAGCTCCCCTCACACCATGCTGCACATCCGACGCAACCGTGGACACATCAAAACACATGCCCCGTGCGCACGCACCCCCCCCCCCTTCGCGCACGCAACTTCACGGGCAAAGAAGCCGACGCTATCAAGTTGGATACCCCCTCTGGGGGCCCCGTTGTCGCCGGGAGCACGTAGCAACACGTGCCGAACGCGTGCGCGGCGAGACACCTGTTGGAGAACCCCCTCTTCCGGACACGCAGTTCCCCCATCGGTGCCTGCACGGACGGGGCCCCGGCGGATGTGGAAAAATTTGGCGCGAGTCCCCGGCCGGTTTCGGCAACTGACCTGGTTTCCAGGTTCCCGGTTCCGGATTCCCCGGCTCCCACTTGCTAATGCCGGGCCAATTTCGGTGGGCGGCGGGGTTCCCGGGTTGCCGGGTTCCCGGGTTCCTGGTCGATCTCCTTATCGATCGTTTTCACCATCGATCTCATTACACACCTCTCCATCGAAGTCCCTTTCGATATCAGAATCGATATCACTATCGATATCATATTCGATTTCACTATAGATCGCACGAGCGATCTCACGATCGATCTCACTAAATCGACTTCACCATCAGTCTCACGAGCGACCTTACATCGTCCTCACAATGAGATCCCACCATCGATCTCACTATCCCATATCACTCATGTCCGTCAACCCATCCACTGATTGGGTTTTTTCTCTCTGGCGTAAGTTCTCGTGCCCGATTCCGACGCCACCTGCTCGACACCTTCCCAGCATATGGCCAGAGGCCCGCAGGCAAACAGAGAAACCTGGGCCTGAGCCCTTGCCTGACGAACCAACAACACACACACACACACACACACACACACACGCACACACACACACACACACACACACACACACACACACACACACACACACACACACAACACACACACACACACAATACACACACACATACCCATGGGGGGGTCGGAGAGGGCTATGGGTGCGTGTTGTCGGATGGGGGTCCCCGCTCGAACCGCTCGAACGGGAGCGTTCCCCAGGGTCCGACAACCCGCACCCATACCAATAGCCAGTCCTCCTCCCAACGACCCCCCCATACGGGTGTGGCGATGCGCGATCCCACGGATGCGCTCCGCGCGGGGTCTTCCGCGAAAAAAGAGCGCCCGGTGCCCACGGGGCCGCGAGGCCCGCGCGCCCCTCCCACAGACGTCGCCGCCGCCGACGCCGACGCCACCGCCATCGCCAGACAAATAAAGAGAACCAACAAAAACGTACGGGCATCAGAGTGTCGCGGGCCCAGCGCCGATCCAAGAACCCCGCGGGGGGCGTCCGAGACTCTTCTGGAACGCATCAGGACATGCCGGCACACGCGCGTCCGACCCGAGCACGCAGTGTATGCAACATGCTGCAGCACATCGCTCCCCGAGCGACATGGCCAGAAGCGCCCGCCACGGAGCCTATACTATAAGAATTCCGAGCGTGCGACTCGCCGTGGCGTGGCCACCGAACAGGTGAACGGGGTGGGTCCACGCAGCGCCACGCGCTCTTTTCGCTCGCTCCTGAGCGACGGCGCGCGGGCGCTCGTCCCCCCTTCCCTGTCAGCCCAGCATGCCCAGCCCTACCCTGCCCAGAGCTGGGGCAGGCTAGAGAGGGGGGGAGGCGAGGGGGTCTGACTCTGGACCTCTGCTTAGTGCGACTGCTTGCAACAGTGAGTCCTGTGGGGGAGACTCCGCCTGCTCGAAAGAGGCGCCACAAACCGCTAAGATCTACTCCATTGGCGGGGGGGGGGGGGTGCGAGGCCCCACGCCGATTTGCAGAACAATGAATAAGGAAACGATCACCATATAGTGTAAGTATGTTTGGGTGGTGCCGACCTTCGATGTGCGCACGGAGCTGCGCGGGCGTGCGCGAGCGAGCAACCTCTGGGCGGACGCAGCCAGCAGACTGGAGCGCGCACGGACGGCCGAGGACTTTACCTGCCAGACCCCCGCAGCCGAGAGGAGGAGGAGGGAGGAGGAGGAGGAGGAGGAGGAGGAGGAGGAGGGAGGAGGAGGAGAAGGAGGATGGAGGAGTAGTAGTAGGAGGAGGAGGAGGAAGGATGCAGAGTGGAGGCAAATTGGCGCGGCTATCCGAAAAGAGGAAGGGAAGGCGGGATCGGGTCAGACAACCGAGAAGAAGAAGAGGAAGGAATGGGCCCGACAGCCGATAGGAGGAGGAAGGAGGAGGAGGAGGAGGCGGAGGAGGAGGAGGAAGAGGAGGAAGAGGAGGAGGAGGAGATGAGGAGGGAGGAGGAGGAGGAGGAGGAGGAGGAGGAGGAGGAGGAGGAGGAGAGAGGAGGAGAGGAGGAGGAGGAGGAAGGGGAGGAGGGATCGGGTCTGACAAAAGGGGGGAAGGAGAGGAGGAGGAGGAGGAGGAGGAGAGGAGGAGGAGGAGGAGGAGGAGGAGGAGGAGGAGGAGGAGGGAGGAGGAGGAGGAGGAGGAAGGAGGAGGAGGAGGGAGGAGGAGGGAGGAGGAGGAGGAGGGAGGAGGGAGGAGGAGGGAGAGAGGAGGAGGAGGAGGAGGAGGGATCGGGTCGGACAAGAGGGGGGGAGTGGCAAGAGGAGGGGTCAGCAAACCTTGGGGGGTCCCAATACGGTGCGGCGACAGACCGTGCGGTGACCTCGGCATCCAGAAAAAAGACCTCACCGCACGGTCGCTCGCCGCACGAGCTTGGTACCTTGGCGGCCCCAGTCGTCGGAGACGCGCTCGGAGAACGACCTGAATCCTACAAGCGTGCGGTCACCCCGAACCCCCATTGAGTCATCACACGGTGTGGAGTGCGTTTTTTTCTATTCGGCGTTTCGACACTGGACGGAAAGGGGGGGGGAGGGAGGGGGGGGGGTCTGGCTCCAGACCTCTGCCAAGTGCAACTGTTTGGGACAGTGCGTGTTTTTTGGGGAGAGGCTCCACCTGCTCGACACCGGCGCCAAAAACAGCCAAGATCCAGTCCAGGGGGGGGGGGGAGGGGGGGGGGTGCGAGGGCCATTTTCGATCGGCAAAGCAATGAATAAAAAACGATCACCATTGGGTCATCACACGGTGTGCTCGTCGCACCGTTCGGGGGCCACCGAAGATCAGCTCGTGTGGCTGGCTGGCTCGGCGCCTCGCGGCGCGGGGGGCACCAGTGCACCGAGGGGAATACTGTCGGCGGGGCCGTACTCAGATGCGCGCGGCAGATTTCGCAGTCCCCCCTTTCCCATTCCCTCCCTTTACGTCGGACACGAAGGGAGAGGTGGGGAGGAGGGGATGGAGGAGGGGGAGGAAGAGGAGGAGGAGGAAGAGGAGGAGGAGGAGGAGGAGGAACAGGAGAGGGCGGAGGAGGAGAAGGAGGAGGAGGAGGAAGAGGAGGAGGAGGAGAAGGAAAAGGCAAGGAAGAGCAGCAGAAACAGCAGGAGCAGGACGGCCAACCGGCCAGACGGCGGCGGAGGGCAACGGGCAGCAGACCGGACCAGGCCAGCGGGCGCCCGGCAAAGACGATGGCGGCGGCGATGGCGACGACAACGGCGGCGGCGGCTACGGCG